TTGCAAGTTAGAATATTATTGTATGATGGGTACGAATGTGGATGAATGTGGATATGTGGATGTGGGTATGGATGTGGTTGTCGGTGTGGGTGAATGAACGGAAGACCAACACCCACAATCACGCCAACCGATACTCGCACCCACACTCACACCCCGACACCCAAACCCCCACACCACACCCCGAAAAACAGATAATAAGACTTTTATTTTCTTTAAATTTTCGAATATTTGAAATATATGTATCAAATTAGATAGCACAATCTCTTCACAAAAGAACACACAAATATCATAATTATGTTCGAGATTAAATATGTACTCAACTCGAAGTAAATATAATATTATTATTGATATTTTGTTCGATTTGCAACGAAAGCAGCATATCATTATTCGACACTTATCCACAAGTGTATTTCAACTTTATTGATATTACATGTAAAATTTTTGTTTTCTTTAAATCGTGAAGAATTTTCAACAAACCATTCATATGATATATTCGTGAACATCGATGGTTGATGATAGATAAATGTGACCAATGACAAATGTTTCAATCTATCAATCAACAACAACATTGTTTCTTGATCATTAATTCCAATTTTTAAACGTTCGATTCGTGGAAATAGGATACATATTTGTTCAGCATGAGATTTTATCTCCAATGTATCTATCATCAATGAACGTATCGATTCAAATCTTGTTTCTGTCGATAGTTGAGTAAGTAACGATGTATTGACCAATGAAAGGGATTTTAGTTGAGGCAGTGCTAAGTATGGTAAAATTCTATCCAAACAAAGATCTTTGTCTGTTTGAAGTATTAGCGATGTTACATTAATGAAATGATGCATCAATGGACGAACAGTTGGTAAATTGAGAATATCAACATATTGATCAAGACATAGCTCCGATGATGTACATGATGGTGTATCATAATTCAGTAAATAAATAATATTCTTTGGTGCAAAACGAGGTACCGTAAAAAGGCAAGATGATGATTGAAGATCATCGTAAGCAACAAACCACTTTTTTTGTGTGAGCCAAAATGAGGTTCGAAATGAATCGAGAATTTGCTTGTTCAATCTATCAGCAAGACAAAAACGAAAATCAAATATTTGAAGATGTGATACTAAGTATTTCCATTGATTTCCATCGATTATATCCGTAGCATCTTCGATATCAACCTCTGAACTTTGAGACCAAACTTTCCATTGATCACCGACAACAAAATGTATTGGATCGTCTATACGAAGTTCGAAATGCATTAGACAAGGCATTTTCAATAAAAATTGATGCATTTTCTCCATCATCAATCGACCGTCTTATCATTAAAATAAAAAGATAATAGATGTTTTTTTTTAAACTTAGCATTAAGTTTATAAAGACTATCTTACATTGAATGCAAAGTGTCAATTGTCTTAAATGATTCATCATTGGTGCTTGCCGAGACCAGTAAGTGGACATATTGAGAGATAAAGTGATATTCAAAGAATACAAATTGGTCATTTGCCTCAATAAATATTCCAAATTATGACAATAACAATGTGTGATTGTTAAATATTTCATATTGTTCAATGGTTTCATTAATGGATAGTCACGTGTAATCAATTGTTTCAATCGAGGTAGTGTTGTTTCTACACTAGATCCGAAAAGACGCCAATACGTGTCTGAAATGTATGGCAAAGTCAACGATTGAAAATTATTAAGTCGACACAAAAGATTCAATTGTCTAAAAATACTCTGATTCGATGAAATAATTGAAAATGACCGAAGATTAATAAATTGTAGAATATCAAATTTTGAAAAAAATATTTCTGATTGATTTGGTGTATCATTATTTTCAGTAATTGTTATAGAGATAACTTGTTCTGGTCGAATATGAAGACACATAAGATCAAATTGATGTTTAACCATAGATGATAAACTGATCGAATATCGATCATAACCAACAAGCACGTTATCTATATATGAACTTAATCGAGTAAATGCATGGAATATTTCATGTGCCCATAGATAATGAAAAATGTTATGAACTAATTCGACTGGAAATGAATCAAATAGACACGTAGACATTATTTCAATCAAAATAAAATTATTATAAAAAGACACTTGACTTGAATATAACAATTACTCGACGTTTAATAAAGTGTGGTGTACAATACACCTTTTACATGCCTCTTTTTTTTCTTTTTTTTTTCGTTTCTATGATTCTATGACGATAAAAGCACATGCACCGAAACTAAATGTGCACACTTAGTGTCTTTAGGCGTCTGTTTGACAACTCTTTTTTTTCTTTCTTATTAGCGACGGAAGAAAAAAATATTTTTTCGCATAAAATAGTTACTTCCGATATTGAAACATTTTATGTTTATTCTTTTTTCTTCTGAAATTCGAAACCAATATTCATAGTTGGAAATTTCACAATATTTGAGTCTCATTGATAAAAATATTCTCGAGTCTGGCTAAAGCAAATTCAATTTCTTATAGAACAATACTAACGGTAAACAGTTCTACTTGAAAAGTAGTATATTCATCATCGGATAAGATATTTATTGTTGTTGGGAGCCACACTAGTTGTAAAACTGCAGCATCCAATAGAATTCTTGAAACTACAACGCACCTTAATTGGTTTTTCCCCTTGTTATCTTTTCTGTTTTTATTACTAGACTTCTTTTTATTTATTATTCCGCTATATATAGTGAGAACGCCCAGAATGCGCTACATCTTTTGCTATACTTCCATTAAACATAATATGCAGCTTAATGTGTCAAAGATGCATTAGAAAATAGGTTACATTTGTTGTTCAGTACAATTCCGAATATCCATAATGTTGTAACATTTCTTATTTCGCATATAACTCGGCTTCGGTAAATAATAAAATTTTAACATCTTTCCCAAAAGATATACCATGAAAAGTTATATAAAAATTGTATGATTGAACTCCTTTTTACTAGTTCTACTTGTTTTTCTTATAGTCAAAATAAGCAACCTACATGAAAGTGTCATTTCCCATCATACGGAAATTGTTTGAAAGACACATTTTTTTGCATATATCTCGACTTGGGTCTGGTTGTGTCGGTGGGAGTGTGGATTTGTGGGTGTAGGTGTATGCATGTGAGGTGAGAAAAATACCCACACCCACCAAAACAGTTACTCTAATATAAACAGCAATGTCTCATATCGAAGATTTTGAAAAATGTTCACTTCTCTTTGGAAGATGCCACATCTTCTATGAGAGACACTGTACCATCATTTAGGAGATGCTGATATCCAAGAGCGATCATACGTCTTCAATGCCTAATTGCCACTTCTTCCGAGTGCTGTTGCCGCATCTCCTCGGGAGAGATGAGTACTTTATCCAGAATCGCGAATATGTGACACAATTCACTAAACATCATTTAATGATTTGTCAGAAAATAAATAGTTTCGTTTATAAATCTAAGGCATAATGTTTTAATCTGAAGTTACATTTTATCAAAAATGTACAATTCAAAATTTAAAGGATAATTCTTGGTCCGTTTACATAAACGTTTATCATTATTAAAACTATGGTGTGGGTGTGCATCTTCATTCCATTCATACCCATACCTATACTCACACCTACACCCACACACCCGACACATCCACCCACCCCAACTTGGCAGTGAAGATGCTACGCGCCAAAGACGACAGACCTGATTCTTCTGCTCATTGTGTTGTAGAGTTAGAAAATTGTTGTTTTCATCTCTTTTCAAGTATCAACTAGACCAAACCTTCGCTTGTTGAAAGAATCTTTTCTATAAAACTATGATACTTTTAGGAACATTCGAGCATTGCTACAACTAATAAATTCTCATAGAGATCTACATAGACGCGTTCGATGAATAGTGAATTAATCCAGGCGACTTATGTATTCAAATCTGTTTTTTTTCGGATAGTTTCAAACATTTTCTCAAAACATATATCTCTAGACCTTTTCTTTTGGCAATTCCAAGTCGGGGATTGTCCGGTGGAAACGCTTGACGTTCATTTGTATCAAGATAACCGTGGCGGTTGTAAAATGCAATCAATTCGAGCCTTTGCATAATCACTCTCATATCCATGAATTCAGCGTGCCACGTATTCTGAACATAAGTTTCTGCCGTCGATAAGATTCGTTTTCCATAGCCTCGCCCTTATCGATCTGATATGATGGTGAACATACCCAACCAAGCTCGTCTTAGTTCTGATTCATATCGCAGATGAACACATCCAATTAGAATGTTCTCACTTTCACCAAAGAATAGCAATATTATATTGTCTTTACTCTGAATTATGTCGACAAGTAAATGTGGATCTGTTCTGTTTCAACCAACTAATGCATCTTCGGTGGTCCAACCTTGATGAGATACTTCACCATGATAGCCGCTATGCACTAACGTCGATATTGATTCACAATCGGACAAAGTAGCTACGCGCCAGGTCAAGAAATGATCAAATAAGTCTTTCGTATCGCTTTGGATCAATTCTAAAGTGTGTAGAGTATCCATGTTGAAGAAGTTTGCTAACGGACATGAATGCTTCGACTATGTAAGATGAAACATGACCCAACGAAAAACTAACACCAGATAATGTAGAATGCATTGCAACTTCATAGAAGATAAAAACAACAGAAAAAAAAGAGCTGTAACACATGCATCGGTTGATAACATCGACAACGATGCAAAGCAAATGTCAAGATAAAAATGCACAACAACAAATGTTCGATCGTACTTAGGGTGTGTCATAGTAGTATTACTACACCGGATAGTGAAAAGTTTGATTGCTTCTCACAAAGGTGTGGGTGTGGGTAAATCAATTGAAAACAGGTTGACCTATTTCTTGACGAAAAGACAAGTTCCATTTGTTAGAAATAATTGAATAATGAATGTGCTAAATAAAATAATCAATAAAGAAAAATGAGAAGTTCATTTCGCGGACGAATTTCGTGTTATTTATTAGAATATTGAAATACTCCTCAGGACTCTGCATTAAAAATTGTAAGCATAGATAGAAGTAAAAATAAAAAGTGGAAGCGAAAGCAGCACAACAGAAAATCACAAGGAAAGATGGTTGGTCTTTAAAAGGAAATAATTTGGATTGAATGATGTTCTTCGATCAGCTTGGCTATATAAACATGTTAAAAGCATACAAGTGATAACATATCGTAATACTTTCAAGTCACATCTTTATATAATGAAAAAAGTCATCGCAGTACAAAATCAAATTATATTGTATAAATTGCAGATAATGAGCAGTAAAGCAAAATCATATAAAATCAGATATTGTTTATGAGGAGAGATTTAGGATCAATTTATATGTGAGATGGAGCGTGGGTGTGGGTGTAGTTGTGGGGTGTGGGTATGGGTGTATGAGTGTGGGTGGGTGTGGGTGTGCGTGTTCATCTTCCTTTCATTCACATCCACACCCACCCTCTAATGGAGAGATTGAAAGTGTTTCATCAGTCCAATCATCTTGGGTGTGGGTGTGGGTTGAAAAAAAACAACGGCACGCACACCCATCGGCATCCACAACCCACGCCCTCTCTGTTGAGTACTTGCAGCTTTAAATGAAAAAGGTACTTGTTTCGAGTTATATTCAATCATGTGATTTTTTTGATTAGCATATATTACAGAATCTGAAATAACAAATAAATGAATGTTGTTCAAAATAATAGATAAGTTTCTGTCTTCTTTATATTGTGTCAGCTTCTTTTTGTATATAGACTTTCTATTGGGCAAAATTTTATTTTGCATCAACATTCAAACGCACGTTTTACATGATTTTACTGTATTTGTAACCAACAGAAAGAGCAAAAGATAACAGCAAAACGTTGATAACATTCGAATGAAACAAAAACCAACTATTGACAAATAGTTCTTGTGCTACTATTTTTAACAAGACACTTTTGCATGAGGTGGTCTTAACGAAAAATAACGAGAAAAATTTGAAAGCGTTTAGGAGAAATGTTGGTATTCTAATTTTTCTTTTATATTGTCATCGATATGCGTATTAGTTAGAAGATCATTCGACAACTTAATTGTCATGCATTCAAAATAATTAAAATATAATTACAACTGATAACACAAAATAGATCTTAATCCTTAAAAGCCGGAAGGCCTTATCGTCGCAATTTGAACAAATTATTCGGTAAAGCAGAAAGTGTAGTATCTCAATAAGAATCATTGATAATAAAAACAAAAAAAAAATTTTTTCTTACGGAAATATAAAATGTTCCTTGGAAGGGACATTCGGTCGTAACGGTCCAAAATTTTTCACTGTTATCAATTTACGTAAAAGCAATTTTTTCTTTAAAATACCTCTATTTATATGTTTCTTATTACTCAAGAAACTAATTCAAGCAATATTTTACAATTTTTCAAAATTTATACACTATCGGTTTCAATGTAAGTCTCGCTCAAACTTTTCGGCCTGTTAAGACCGAATGTCCCTTCCAAGGGACATTTTCTTCATGCTATCACTATGTATCAACAGGTAACTTAAAAATTTAGGGAACAGTTTCATTCGGTAGCATGCCTTTGTGCTTCTCAGAAAACCCAAAGTTCACGCTAATTCGCGCTATATTTACGAAAAGGCATACATTGCAAAATACAAAATTGCATTTAAAAAATTCATGCATTTTCCAAAACCTGCTGCGTTCCCTGACAGTCGATTTTAAGAAATTTCTTTTTCACTCTATACTCTATTAGGTCATAAAAGTCCAAAAAAATATTGGTCCATGCCTCAACGATTTTTTTACGTCTCCTATAGCGTTTTTTTCAAATGTCCCTTGGAAGGAACATTCGGCTCTTAAGGGTTAATATTATACAATCATTATGAAGTTAGAATTTGACCATGTTTTGGTACAAAAATCATTAATATTATCTAACATAAGAGTTTGAATCATGATGCAACGAATATTTGAAACTCCTCAGTTTGATTAAAATTGAAAAGAAGGACACTGTGAAGTTCATATTTGTCTATTTTTCCTAGAACTACATCAGTGATGCCTTCGCTGTTTTTTCAGTTTTAGCTAGAGAAAAACATGATATGAGATATATATAAACGTTGTAATGATCTTGAGATGATTTCTCTTTAGTAAATGATGCGAGAAAAGAATCGATATAAATTTAAAAATATTGTTAAAATATGATTAATTATATAGTTATCAACGATAGAAAACTAGAACACTAGGCAATTGATGTATATAATATTTATTTATTCCGATTTTTTATGTTTTCATCAACTATTTGTTTAATCGATTAATTCGATAACTCTTCAAGAAATTTTCTTTGCACTTCAATTGGTTGCTCACATGACTCGAAATCCAAAATTAAAAACCGATCAATATTGAATGCCATAGGTGGTGTTGGCATCTTTGGGACATCAATACCTACACACACACCCTTCACATACACAAGAACGAAATCAAAATGAACTAAACATCAGTCTCTTTTTCTGAATGGTGCTCAAAATCTACTTTTGTCAGCAATGGCATCAGCCATGGATAAGAATTAAGATGTTTAATTCCCGCTCATTTAGTAATTATGTTTTCAGTTACATGCACCCTACCTTAAGTTTCAATATTATTATCAACAACTAGTGAGCCACTCGTAAGTAGTAACTAAAAAGTAGAAACATAAATCACAAGCAAAACTAACTTCCATATGCTCATGCCAATATCTTCCTTTGTTTATTGTGATTAAAGAGAAAAAGTCTTTTGAAATACTTGAGAATGTTGTCGTTGAACAAGAACTAGAAATTTGAGGAAAGCAAATGGAAAACAACATTTGACGGTCTTAGAAAGTGAAAATATTGTTATAAAGAGAATAATGTCACAATGTGATGCAATAACAAATGACACTCACAATAACATAAAAAATATACATAATACTGACAATATACATAATTACACACTTGAATCTATCATTTAGTGTTTTGTTGATAGATAGGTGCTATCTTATCTTTGTGAACAAGCCCAGCTATTAATATAAAGACACGAATCTGCTATTCGTATTCATTAAATACAAAATCATCAACGTGTTTGTTTCACTCACTCCAACAGTTTACAACCATATATAGTGATTTAATTAACTGTTGTACAATACAAGAGATTCACCAAACAAATGGTATCAAATGTAGCATATATTTTCATGCTGATGTATTTGGTAGCTACATGTGTTGCAAAGGCAAATAGTGCAATATGTCAGTGCTCTTGCTGTGTTGGTCAAGGTTGCAAACCAATTGCGAAGCCTCCTGTATTCATACCATCATGTAAGGATGGCGCATGTGGTGTTAAATGTACAACTACATTTCCAAATCATTGTGCTGTTCCAACATCGGTATTTACAGCCTCGTGTTCTTCAGCAACATCAACTGTCATCAATCGACATGCATTATCCATCATCTTTGGGATGGCTTTTGCACTTTTTGTCAAACAAATTTCTTAAAATGCACACTTGACCAATGATATGCTCAGTGTTTTTTTTCAAATTTTTGATTGTTTAGTTAGAAAATCATGTTTGTTAAATAGAACATTATTCGACATATAATAAATATTTAACTATGAAAACCGAATTTGCTTATCAAAGGCACTGTTATTATGTTTCAGAAATGACTTGAAAATTTTAATAATACAGATTTTTAATTAGAAAGTTCTTTGCAAGCGCATTGTGAGTTTCGATGCCTCTTACAGTTTTTAGGCATTGTAATTAAACCTGAATATGAAGCAAATAAACCACTGTTTATTATATTATCTCTAGAAGACTAAAGCAAGAAAACGTCTCGGACAAACATTTCATTTTAATAATGATGTGTAATAACATGAGCATGAGACTAAACATTCGAACTAAATGAAAAACTGTACGACTATTCTTCTCTTTTACATCTTAACCAAGAAAATATGCCATTTGATAGAGTTTTATTGGATATTTACTATTACACATTATGTTCAAACTATTCAAGAATTACAAGCTATGGCAAACATTTTCTGGTTACAATGTCATTTATATAAATGAAACAAGTAACATAATTTGGCTAATCGTCGGATTCTTTTGAAGAAGAATAAAAGCGGTTCTATTGATGAAGACCATTACAATTAGAGTCGAAATTCTATACAATATTTTCTTGTTAATGTACAAAACATGCAAGTCGATAATGAAGAATGTATCGATAGAAAAACGAATTGTGAATTGTATCCGTAAAATAGAGATATGTAATATAATTCGATGGTGTTTATTAAATGAAATACAACAAAAAACAATAATAACATACATGAGCGCTATGTTTAATATATCACGACAAAAAGAGTTATATTTGAAAAAACTAATCAAGTTATTATTAGGGTGTGGGTGTCGCTAAACGAAGACTCCTACTCACACCCATACCACACCCACCCAACATCCACACCCACCCCACACCCACACGCACATCCACACACACACCCGCACCCACACCCTTTATAAACTTCGGTGGGCATTTGTTTAGCAATAGTATTATTCTAATTTTGTGCATTTCCTCTTTCAAATCTTCAACATGTGAACATATACGAGTTGCTCTGGGCACTGCCGACAATGGCATATTTCGAAAAATATGCAGTGGGTGTGAGGAATGAAACGGAAGTATGTATGGTTCTGCAGCGAGTTTTCGATAGACTTTTGTTCGAAAATTAGGTATCTCAACACTTATTCTGACATCTAAGTAATCAATCGATTGATCTGACTCGGATCTTATTGCTATGTTAGGGTCTTTCTTTCCTAAATTGCTTAATATTTCGTTCATTTCTTCTGTCCTTTGTGTAGTTGGGTGTGGGTGTGAGTATGAGTGTGGGTGACAGTGTAAAAATGAGCCACGATGCGGTGTGGGTGTGGGCAGGTGTGGATGTCGCTGTGCCCTTGGGTGGATGTGGGTGAATGCGGGAGTGGTGTATTTCCCTCAGATTATCACACCTACCCACACCCATACCCATACCCACACCCACACCCATACCCATACTCACACCCACACCCACACCCCACACTCTCCAAATTCAAAAGTAAGACTTTCGCGATAGTAATTTTTCATTTTCTACATTTACCACAATGAAGATACATTACGCATCTCTCTTTTTCTTAGAATGACAACGAAATTCATCGATTTCTTAGGCATCAAAGTCGTCATTTTGAACACGTTAGGTTTGAGAAGAAAGAATTTATTTCTTTTTCCTTTTAAAAATAAGTATCAAAAAATAGAAAAAAGACATCCACGGATATATTTCTTTTATTTTCGTGAAAACAGTCTAATACAGTTGATATTTAATTGTTAGTGAAGGTGATTTTTGTTAGTTATTGAAAAAAAGCAAATGTGCAGACAGTATATATAAGATATTTGTTCCAAGAAAAGAAACACCCTAAGTTTAGAATCTCGTCGTTACCTAACAATAAATATAATAAATATACTTGAAAAAGTAATTAACTAATTCCATACGATGTTTTCTTGTTTGGGAGAGGCTGCATGCGGGGCAAATAAATGCAAAATTGTTCGGTCTTTTTTGCATCTAAAAAAAATGAAACTGCCTAGGTCAAACAATCTGATAGTAAGATCAGATAAGATTCTGAACCTGATGTTATATGATCTTGGAAGATCATACAAAAAATCGTACGAGAAATCCTCGTCTCTGACATCTTATATCAAGTCTCATTGTAAGATTCTTGACCGATCCTACGGTAGCATAAGATTGTTCTTTAATTTTACAGTGTGATCTGGTAAGACAACAAGATCTGACAAGAATTTTACAATGAGACTTGATGTAAGATGTCAGAGATGACGATTTTTCGTATGATTTCATAGGATCGTATAAGACTTACTGTCAAACTTTTTGACCTGGGTGTTAATATTTATAGAAGTTGTATGGGATGATGTATCAAACTGTTTGATCAGTTTTCATTTTATTTTTGTAGAGAATATAAAAATCTCGGCTTTTTGTTATAGAGTACAGGGTCAAAATTTTCATAGAACACATATATAAACACAATCAGGCCTTTCTTTTTCGGAAAACAATTTAAAGTTCTTTTTTCCGAAGCAGATGAATAAGTGAAAGTAATGAAATATTCGGCAGAAAATTATTTTCTTGAAATAAGATTTATATTTAGATAAAATTTTGGAAGAAGAAATTGCAATTGTGATCCGATTAAGTGACGCATCACATTACTTAGTGGGTGGAGTGTGGGTGACGGTTTAAAGATAAGATTTTGTGATACACCCACACCCTACTCGAATTGCAAGTTTTAGCAAAGAAATGAAAAATGAAAAAGGAATTGGATATTGACAATTTTTAAAGTATCCAAGTCAAATACACACAGTCCTAGACTACCATTTCGCTTAATTTTACAGCCGTTTGGTATGCATCATATTACGTTCGTTTTTTATCAGGTGGTAAACGGTCGGCTAATCAATATTTGGACCGCATTAAGGCTGTTATTAGCCGTTTCCGACATGCCGAAATACGATCGTAATACTATGCATGCCAAAAAATCAATTTACAGCAATTTTCTGTCGGGAATAGTATAAAATGGTAAAATACGTTATCATATAAGACCGTTTACGGTCGCGTCCTATCGTCGAAATGTTCGCACTAAGTAATGAAGACTATGAGAAGATTTCACTTCCATATTTCAGCCTAATAGGATTACAGTAAGAAACATTTTTTAATGCACAACCCGATAATATTTAGATCCTATACAAGTTTTTTTCTGGATTAGTGAAAATGCTCTTGAATCACTCGATTCCTAAATCTCATCAATTCTTTGGTGTATCGGCTGACATTTCATATCAGTGAAAATCAATTTATGAAAAATCAACATTCCACAATTTCTACACATCGATCTTTTTGAACAATCCTACCATTTCTATCCTTCTCTATAAAGTATTTTGGATTTGACTAGATTCTGACTATCGAAATAATGCGACGACTATTTCTTTTCGAAGCAGGTAAACATACATCTGTTTGCACTGTTTGAAAAAAGAAACTTTCTATCTCAAAAGAATAGCTGTCAATAATTCTGTTTTTGATAAAGAATCTCTCAATTGCCTTTCATGAGTAGAGAGGATATCGAAAAATCCATCAAATCAGTATGAAGGCACTGATTTTGCTTGCTTACAGAAATATACGTGAAACTCGTTATATATATATACGAATAATACATACACATCAATGAATTCTTCCTTGGTCAATTCATCAGCACAGTTACCCTTTACTCTTACCATGATGAACCGGGCAAGTCTTCTTGGCTTGTAATATTCCTTAAGATAACGGTTAGGAAAGAGATCATACTGAAGAAAGAAAGTGCAATCCAGTTTTTATTTAAAATTGTAGTTGAAACCTCACCATTTTACCAATAAGCTTCTCAAGTTCTTTAATATTAATCTTACGATCTCTTGTCGTATCATACCTGTATATAAAAGAAATCATAATCCAAAGAAACATTTTCTCCAAAACTTTACATGTCAAAAATGAGCTTAAGATGATCCTCAATGTTACCTTGAGCATGAGGTGAAATAGCTAAAAGAAATTCATAGAACGAAAGTGAAGCTGCATCATCGGTACCATCCCTATCAGCATATGTGTGAAATATATAACTAAAAAATATATCTCTTCTACTAAGATTGAAAACTATTAGTCAATCAGAGTATTACTTGCAAAAAACTTCAGCTTTCTCTTCTTGATAAAATTTTAAGTACTCATTTATTAGCTTTTGACGCGTAAGTTTACCATCGGGACAATCTTGCATAAATCCCTAAAATGATATCAAATACATTAGGAAACAAAAGATTAATTATGGATGAACCTAACCGTATACCAGTCTTGTATTTCTATATATATATATAAAGTGAGAGATCAGAAGAGGAATAAAATGGAAAATACTACCTTTTTCAGAAAATTTACTAGCCATACGGAGTACACGGAGTTCTACAATTGATCATAAAAGATAATAAATATTGACATAAAACAGGAAAATTTTCTTACCATCACTCGATAATTCTCTAGTCTTAGAAATGTGAGATGTTTTAATTCCCATTAAGAAGGATTATTTTTAAAGTATAACGAACGGTAAAAATCAATTATAATCTATAAAACAAAAGTCTATCAGATTACATGTATGCTTTATATGAATATATGAATGTTGATAGCTTTGTCCTTGATATTTAGAGGACACAAAAAGCTTTTCAAAAATAACGTCATAAATTGGTTTGAATGTGATATATTCTCCTTGTCATCATATTGTTCCCTTGTGAATGTTTACAATCCCAAATCTCAGCTTCTAATAAGCGTTTTTTTTTCTTGAAAATATGCGTTAATTTACGTAGAGCATGTTAATTACATTCTTCAGTTTTTACTTGATTAAAACAGAATATTATATTGTTTATTTTTCAAAATGTAAACTTTAGTCAACTGGTAAACGTACACTAGATG